CATGCATATGAAATGATATATAAATCCAAACCAAGAATTTACATGTTGTCTATCAGATTAATTTATTCTTTACTCTGATAAAGGCCTGCACCATATAACTAAATATCAGCTTGTAATGTATAAACACAACAATGAAGTGTATTATTTTGACTCTTTGCAACCACCATGGCATTAAAGATCTAATTTCGATTCTGTTTTAGAAAGAAAATAATAAATATTTCAATATGTTATTGATGTTATTGTTAAATATTCCATTGTCTTTTTGTCATTTTTATCTGAACTAAGGTGTTTTCATGTAAGTAATGTATAGAGATTCTTAGCGTCTTAATTGATTTTAAATATTTTAAAAATATATTGAATTTAGAAGAAATCTAATCTATATTTGTAACTCTACAGTTTCTATAATTTGCAGTTATTATTAAAAGATTATATATATATTTTTTCTGTAAGAAAGATTTTTTTTTTCAATTACTCTATACATTCCATATAAGAAAATTAATAAATCACTTAACCTCATTTAGAACAGGTTTGCACTTAATTATAATATAATATGTTGTTTCCCTTGGTCTTAATATGAGGAAAAGATTAAAACTTAATAAAGATTAACAAAAAGCAAACAATAAAGCTTTAATTTAAAACTATACATAGATAATCAACATCATATACAGGCAAATCTGCTCATTTGGGACACTTAAGACTACACCTTTCTGTACCAATGAAATGGATGTTCTTATAAAATGGAGTGCTTAAAAATCTTTTAAAAATGATACTGAACTGTAATTTAGGAAATCTTATCAAGATAATTAATGCATATTCATTTATGATCTTAATAAAGAAGAAATGAATATTAATGTGCATTTTTCATATTTATGTTCTAAGTTGCACTAATGTCCTAACACTCTTTATGTTTTCAATTTTCCAACAATATATACATTTTCAAAGGCGCTCAGTAGCCTGAGCAGAAGAAAATCTGATTATTAAATTTCATAGTTCTTAATAATTTCTTGATTTTTTAAAAGTCAATAGGCAGAAATGCCTCGATTTATCAGTTCCACATTACCAATGCTTTGTAGTTAAGTAATGAAAATTGAAAGTGTTTACCATAATATGATTGTATTCCATATAAACATACCAATTAAGCAGAGTATACTGTATATATAAATATATATATAATTTATATGACAACATGAACTATTTAGCTACCAATGCTCATATACAATATATATATATATATATATATATATATATATATATATATATATATATATATATATATATATATCAGTCGAAAAATTATAGTTTCCCTGAAATCAGGTTAGTACCTTACAACGTTCCATGTTTTTGATTATTAAACAATGGAAACATGGTCTTCACACAATGGACCTTTTCAACCATCGAATTTCATAAAAAATTCTCTTCTAAATTTCTAAATTATTCTATACAAATAGTTTATGCAAAATAAATATGTTAATAAACAAAACTGCATCTCAAAACTGTAATAGTGATGGATAATTTGAAAGTATTAGGTTTTAAAAACAAAATTTAATTATAAATCATTGTTTTTCAACATTATAAAATTTGATTATTTGATAAGTTAAATTTGTTTTAAGTAAAAAATAGAATGAAATAAAAAAGTTATATCCTTCACATTCTGTCAATCCTAAAGCATGATTAAAAAAACGTTTTAATTTTCAATAAACATTAATTATGCTTGTCAAAAAAAGTTCCAACCTTAATAGAAGTATTCCTGAAAACTTGTTGGCTAAATTGTTACATATTTTTAGTTGGAATATAAAAAAGTACATATTTATGTTGTTTTGGCATGAACAATAAAATATAAAATAATATTGATGTAATGAATCATAAATTTGATTTAATTTAAAAACAAAGTAGTGATGAAAATATTATTTTTGTGGACTAATATTATTTAATGAAAAGATTACTGTTGAAACAAATAGTATTTAGATAAAGTAATTGTCTATAACACAATTGGATGAATTTTTCACAAATGACTGTCAGTAATTTAGATACTTAGGGATTCTAAGACCAGAAAAATAACTTCACTACTCGACCACTTTTTATTTTATTTTTTCAATATATTTCGGCATTCAGGCCATCATGAGTTGATTTGGTGGAGTCCTGCTCTCCTTAAAACCTACGGATCAACTGATGATGGCCTTACAACCGAACCATCTTGAAAATAAAAAAAATTTGGGTGGTTAAGTTGGTTTTCTTGTATCAGGAATCTCTATTAAATTTTTTCTATTCACCTTAAAGATAAATATATTACAATTTAGATATCATTATTCTATTTCAGATTCCTGAGTATAGAACAGTTATATTATACATTTACTCTAATAATTCTAACTGTTTTGCCATTTCTAAGGGTAAATATCTGATTTCAATCTTGAATAATTCAAAATAAAATGCAAATATTATTACCGACTACTGTTATTTACTCCCTTCACCTAATATATAACAGTTTTCTAAATTTATATTTTAATACTATTTCAATAATAATTATCATTCAATAATATTTTTAATGCGCACTGAATCAGTAAGTGAATGCACTAGTGGATCCAGGATTTAATTTTTGGGGGAGGGGGGCTCCAGCCCGAAAGCTTTTTTTTCATATATGTACAACAATAATTAATTTGAAAAAAAAGAAAGAAATTCATTACCTATATGAAATAGTGTTTAAGTGGTTCTTGAATTCCTATTTAATGTCATTAAATGAACAAGAATACTTTAAGAGATAGTTTTTAATATTTTTTTCTGTAAAATATGGTTATAATTTACCATTTTGGGAGGGGAGTGGCGCTTCAGCCCGAAAGCTGATTTTAGGAAACAGTAAGTTTATGAAAAGTAAAACATATTCATTAATTATAAAAAATATATATACATATATATATATATATTTATTGGTACTAGAATCCTGCAAGAACCTGGACCTCTCTTAATATCCTCCTCCATTCTCCTCTATCCTTAGCGAGCATCCACCAATCTCAGATTCCCATCTTTTTCAGAATGTCTTCCATATAGAGTAGCACCAGCCACCTCAGATGTGGTCTTCCTCTGCCACATCTACCGATTCTTGAGTATTTGCTAATTTGGGGATTGAGTCTATAGGCATTTACGCTGCATGACCAAACCATCTGATTTGGTTATCCTTCACAGATGAGACTAAGTTCTGTCTTACCTAAATCTGACACAGCTCTTATTTATAATTGATGTGGAATTTCTACAGCCTATGATCACATAACGGACCACAGATTCTCCAGAGAATCCTTCTCTCCAAAGCAAGGTAGCAGCCTTTCTGAACCATTAGATATCACACCTATGGCCTTAGAACCATAGGTGATGACGGGTCTTATAATTGTTTCTAAGGCTGTAATCTTGGTTATATGAGAGAATGCTGAATATAATTCAGCATTTTTTGCCTGGCAAAACTATATCCATTCCCAGTAGTTCCTCCTAGCAGACCCAAATACTTAAATAACTGTGGTTTCCTAATGTGACATGTTCATCTGTTCCACTCGGCTTTCTTAAAGTCAGCATGTAAACAGTCTTCTGTTCATTTATTTGCAGTCCTAGTTCTTTTCTTGTTTTTTCATTTAAATTCTTCAGGTGCCCTTCTAACACTATTATATACAGGATGATACAGGATCTGGCTTGTGCTGATGTACTAGCACCAAAAAAATATATAAATTGGTCATTCGATCATTCTGATAGGCTAAGAGTTAACATTGACCCTCCTTCCAGAAACACATGAGAATTCGAAGTTTTTTAGATTTTGTTAAATGATTTTAAGAATTCGGTATTACTTTTGAAATCCTTTAAGGTTAGTTTTGAAATAATAACAAAAAAGGTGTAGGAAAATGATGAAAAAAAAAATAAGAAAACTGCAATAGTATGTGGGAAAAATCCTGGAAAAAATGACTAAATTGTCACTAGTGTATTTCATTTTGACAAGTAGTCAAAATTAAGAAAGACTAACAGGTATTCTATAGAATACCAACCATAAAAATTATGTTATTGATAAATAAAATATAATATTATTTATACATTTAGTGGGTTTTTCTTTTTTCTTTTTGTAAAAGTATTGTTTATTAGTAGCAAATTAATTGATGATAATGATCAAGACTAGAATATTTTATATCTGAAATAGTTGATCTTTGGTTCAAAGTATGGTTTATGACTAGAACTAAGACCCTGAATCATGTTTTATTTAAATATAATAATTGATTGTAAGTCTGGTGAAATAGCCATATCCATTTTTTGTATCCATGTTTTGAATGAATTTACTGGAATGATTTTAAAGTTTGTCAAATATTTTTGTATAATTAGTCTATTTGTGTGAGAATTGTGTTGCTCCTAGAAGTTTTTTTTATTGGAATATATATAGTAGTGTTAAAAAAAAAAAAATCCATGTATATATCTGAGTGCCCAATTGGTTTCATTAATTATATGTATTGGGATTTATCTTGTTGCAATTTTCATCATCTAAGAAGAAAGAACTCACAATCATAGTTGTCCAATGAATGTATTTTGTTTGTGAGTACCAAATATTGGGTGTGTGAGTCCCCTATGATGATATAGATTATGATCAAGCAATAATCCAATGTTCAAAAAGTTTGTCTCATTTCAAGAATTTGTTCATTTTCAAGTTAGACTGGAGGATATATCTCAAGTTGAACATAGAATATAAATTGACAATTTTTTTATTCAGATTTAAAAAGAAATTAATAGTAAGAAAAAGAAGTTAATGATGCTTGAGTCTAGAATTGTATACAACAAATAGTAGTACCATAAGATGGGGCAACTTTGGGACTGGTAGTTAGCTTTGGGTATGATTGGGTAACTTTGAGACAGCGGGTAAAATTTAGTTTGTGGTGATTCCGTGGTGGATACTCTGTGTTGGTACAGTCTGCAAAATCGTGCTTTGTGTAGACATGTACTGCGCTACCTTGGGACAGTTTGAGAATCCTAGTTCACTACACACGCTATGCAGTCAGGTTTTATTTATTTCTATTGATTTTTCCAAAATTCTTATTTTCATGAAACTTTTCCTTATGCCTCAAGAGTAGTGTACCGTAGTACATGCGATGTCCATGCTGACTGAACCAACACAGTGTATCTACCATGGAATCACCACAAACTAAATTTAACTCGCTGTCCCTAAGTTATCCACCCAGTCCCAAAGTTGCCCCATCTTACGGTACAACAAGTTGTATAGAACAGAACAAAAATGCAGTAAAAATAATATATTATTTTAAAAATCTGTGCTAACTAGTTTAATTGTACTCAGTCAGTTTGACATCTTTAACTGTTCTTTCTTAGGTTTTTTTTAAATGTATTCATTAATCAGATTATGTAATATCCAACTGTCAAGTTATTGACGCTAGTGAAATTAATTGTCTTTTAAAGAACTGTAAACAAAAAATTTAATCTATCAATTTCTTAAAACTGGAATGAATAATTAAATTTAAATCTAAAAACCAGATTGGTTAACATACCTAATGACATCACAAAGCTTTTTTTAAAAATAAGATGAAAACTCAATCTATCATACACACCACCATTACTGCTTACAAGAAAGCATACTTAGGTTACATTTAGAAATCTAAACATTATTTCATACATACATATAACTACAATATTACTCAAGGATTTTAGTTCCTCCTTGAGTAAGCTTTTTATTTACACAGCCATTGTTAAAAAGGATAAATACCTATAACAAAGTTCTAAAAAGAGCTCTAGTAACATTTAACTATTTAGAAAAATTCTTTTTTTTGAAGACAATTGCTTAATTTTAAAATGACAGTGACTTAAAACAAAAGAAATGAACCAATATAATACATGTCTTAGCAGCTAGATAAACTAACTTTAAAATTAAATTAAACATTAAATTAAAACATTTCATTTGACATTTAATTATCAGAGTGTTTATCACAAATGCTTTTGTTAATTGTTCAAATTGTCCTTTTGCACTTATAACTTCAACTAAAATTCATTTGGAATATAAGATTTTTAAATAACATAAAATATCAAAATTTGACAAAGCTAAAAGCAATTTTAGATGAAAGAAAAAATCACCATTATATCAAATCATTTAGTAAACACTCATGCTACTAATTATTTTCATATTTCACAAAATACTTATAATTAACCTCAGTTAATAAAATTTATAAATTCTAATTACATAAATTAGTTAGGCTCTACAAGCATTATCTAATGCATAAAATATATCAATATATTTGTTGGCCAAGTTTAATGATTGGAATGGGGTTTAGTCTTCAGTAATAGGTTTCTCCTCCTGTGCCTCCACCTCCTGACTGTATGGACAAGTCTCACCACGCATATCACATATGACGTTTGTTAAGGCCATAATGTAGTTCTTGGCTAGTGTTAATGTTTCTATTTTAGACAATCGCCTTTCTTTCTTCACGTGTGGTATCACTTCTCGGAGGGACTAAAACCAATAACAATATACATTACAAATATCTGACAAAAAATATTAGATATGAGAAAAAATCATCACAATATCAATTCATTTACTAAACTCTCATGATTTTGTGATTAATTACTTTTATATTTTATCTACACTTATATATATATATATATATATATATATATATATATATATATATATATATATATAAATATATATATGTGTGTGTGTGTGTGTGTGTGTGTGTGTGTACACACACACACACACATATGTATTTCATTAAAAGTATATTCAAGCCAAATTACAGTAGAGTTCACATAAAGTGAGGAATGTTTTCTAGAGTGATTGATAAAATGAGAAGATGGGTCTATCTAGAGACGAGAACGAGCAGCTGCTTCTGCTCTCTTTCAAAGTGGAGCAGATTTAAAATAAAGTAGCCATAAATTCAGAAAATGAATTCATGAAAAATTGGTTAAAGCGGCAGATATTGTATTTGAGAAATAATTTTTTGACCAAATCAAAATAAAACTGTTATATTTCATTTTTCTAAAAAAATATCACCCATAATATTTAAATAAAAATAAAAATTACTTTGTAACATTTATACATTTTGATGAAAATTAATTGTTAATATATAACTTACATTTGCTTGAAATAGCAAAATAATTAGTAAGAAATAATCAGTAAAAGTCAAACATTTTTTATTTATTATTTCTTTTCAAAAAATAGCATTCACTTCTTGAGCAATTATTGTTTAGATCATTATTATTTTTGAGTCACATTTGTTTTTTTGCTCACACATTTTTTTTTTTTTAAATCTTTTTATTGAGAAATAATATATTTTACCACACTTAAGGGCACTGAGTACTGAAGCTGAATGAGGCACATTCATACCATATATACAGTATAATAAAAAAAGAAATAAATAAAAAATATATATATCTATATAACAAAGACAAAAACTATAAAACCTAAAAAATGATGAAATCAAATTAAAAAAAATACAGAAATTCTTAGCAAAGTAAATAAATTATAAGTAAAACAAATAAATAGATAAAAAAGAAAAACATTCATACTTAATTACAATATTTACAATCAGCCAAGAGAGCTCCGAGTCCAGCCTTTTTCTCCACGTGTGAAGGACAAAGCGAGACTCTAAGAGATCCCAGCACTTCTCTCTCAGTCGCGTCAACGGCATTGGAGTCCAGTGGAGACTGAGAGAGGGCACTAAACCCACAGATGCTCATGACTTTAGTGGAGAGGCTGGCAATTGCCAGAAATCCAGTGACAGTCTTTACAAAAGGTCTCGAGGCCACTGCCATTGTAGGGATGACTGGAGCTGGATAAAGATTGTGCTAAGGGGTTAGGATGGATTAGGTTCAGGTGAAAATTTGAGAATCGGGATGGAATAACATCAAGGGCATAAGGGATATAAAGGCCATGATGTAAGGTTTTGTTCGTTATATAATAAGGAGCATTGACTATTATACAGAGGACTTTAGATTGGAAGGATTGGATGTGTTTGATGTTCAAAAATTTCATTGTTCCCCACTGTTCAAGTCCGTAGGTCCAGATTGGTTTCATTGGTTTCAATATGGTCTTGTATATTAATAGTTTGTTTTCAATTGAGAGGTTGGATTTTCTGTTAAGTAGTCTATATAACTGGCAAAGTCGTCGGTTAAGTTCTTGTCTTTTAAGTCTGGTATGTGGGTTCCATGTTAGTCTTTTTTTGCTCAAAATAAAACTCAAAATGCTTCATCACAAAAAAAAAAAAAATAAATAAAAATAGAGTAATCAAACTGAAAATAGTTTCATTTTAATCTATATGAAAAATTTGATGTAAAAATTGATCATTGATATTTTATTTTCCAATTAATTTATTTTTTATTTATATATATGCATGTAATTAAATTCTAAAGTTAAAGTTAATTAATACAATAAAACCACTCACAACTTACCAGTTCAAATTTTAAAACAATATGCATTGAGTGAAAATATATTTCTCAAAAACAAGAGTTAATATTATCAGTCAAGAATAATTATTATAATTATAAAAATATTTTAAAATTTCATAAAATATTTTCATTTTTCAAAAAATGATAATTTAATCATAAAAATAAAACTATGGTTTTGGTTCTAAGGAAAAATAATTGTCATATTGGATTCCCATTTTTGTGTTATATTTCAACATTATGAAACAAAATAATTATGAAATAGAAAATAATTTTCCCTCCCTTAAATTAATAATCTCTTTTCTGGTTGTCCACTTGAATGAGAGTGTTGTAACAAAACAATTTTAAAGAGTTGTGATTCTGATAATGGAAAAAAAATATATATTGATATATTTTTTTCTTTATCAGAATCACAACTCTTTACTATATATATATATATATATATATATATATATATATATATATATATATATTGTAAAGAGTTGTGATTCTAATAAAGAAAAAAATATATCTACATATATATCACAACTCTTTAAAATTGTATATATATATATAGTGTCTGACTTATTTACCTGGAAGGCATCATTTAGACTGTGCATACGCATTCTTTCTCTTTCATTAGACTCTAACCGTCTTATGTTTCTCTCTCGTGCATTTAGTGCAGGTCGCCGCCTCTTTCCCCTTCGACCACTGCACCATTCTTCACTCACCTGAAATCAAGACCTGAAATAATTAACTGAAATTTAAACCTTTAATTCATTTCTCTTCCCAGTTGTAGGTACATGATGATTACTGTTATAAAATTATAAAGTTTTTTGTTTTTGCTTCCTCACTGCTCAAGATTGGGAGGGGTTTGTCTCAAGTCGGAAATAAAAAAAAGTTAATTCCCACAATCAAAAATTTCCACTTCTGTTTTAAGTTTTAGATAGCAAGTAACAGAACCAATAATAATGTCTGTCGGTTTGTCAGTAGATGTTTCCCATTAACACACAAATATTTCAAAACCGGCTCGCCTGAAATGGTTCAAAGTTAGAGGAATGTTGTGTACTAGTGTACAAGTAATTCAATACAATTTTTTAAAAATTTCATCTACTACTTTTGCTTAAGTATGTGCCTTTGTATTTTTCTTGGCAAGCGTTTATACAGTACATTTCCATACTCTTTTTTATTTGCTATATGTGTAGCAGAAACATTAATTAGCCTCATCTAATTAACCTTGAATATTTGAACCATTTGATTTGTAGCATCATGTGCAAAAATTAACATTAATTCTTTTGTCTAGCAAAATAGGGAAAGGCAGGGTAAGATGACGAGGTTAAGCTTTTGTCATTTTTCCTGGCAACTGTGGATATTTATATATTATAATTGTTCCTGGATTTAAGAACTGAAATTTTTATGAGAAATTCTTCAGTAATTTACTCAATACCATAAATTTGTTTCATTTGTCTCTGTCGTATTCAAAAGGATGAAACAGCAGTTTTAAAAAAAAATTGTTATTTTCGCCATCTTAGCCAAGCCAAAAAGATTAGGGATTTTAAAATACCATAAAAAACCAACATAAACAAGAACTTCTGTCAAACTTTATTATCGTATCACTCAAACAAGAAAAATACTGTGAAAGGAACCACAAACTGTTATTGAAATATAAAATAAGTAAAATGTATTTAAATGCAGAAGTAACATTTATAGGCCCTGTGACTGATTTCTTTGTGGTTCTATCCGGAACACACAGAAGGATTCAACTTGAGTCATTTGCAACACTAGTAGCCCTAAGTTGACCCAAATTTGGAGCTCTACAACTTTGATTTTATGGGTTTTTTCTCTTAAGGAACTCATTTCCAAGTTACAGAGCCATTTGTAGTAATTTGTATCAGTTTTTGACAAATTTTTAAAAATCAGCGTTGGTTGACCGTGGTTTTATTCCTTAATTAAATTTAAAAGTTTATGCACTCGTTTGACGCAAAATTTAACGTTCTTTAAGTTATTATAGACTATATTTTTCGCTTTGATGCATCGTTTAGGAGTTTTAGGTGAAAAACCCAAAAAATATCGAAAAAATCTGACTTTTTTGGATGTAAAAAGTTTTCCCTTGGTGGCCCGCGTTAGCAATTTTGTTTTCCAAGCCTAAGTCCATATATACAAGTTAAAAAGTAAAAACTTTTCTCACATTGTTCACAGTGGTTTTCCCGTTTCAATTCTCAAATTATTGGCTTAATGTTCTTTAAATCAGCCACCATTTTTAAAAGCAGCGGTTCTGGAACGGCAGACAAGGTTGTTTTTACTCAGAATAACATACACTTTCGTAATTTACAATCAAACCTTCGCCTGCGATTAAGTCGATTTTTGGGCCCTGGCTCCAGGGCTAACAGCTGGCATCCCTGGCTTCATCCGAGAACAAGATGCACAATTCGTCATCTTTACCCCGAACACCATTGTGAACAAACTAATATTTATCAGTTACCACAAGTATTGTAAAATAAATGGATCTCCCATGGGTTTATGGTGTACATTCAGAATATTTTAGAGAGAAAGTAAAAAAAAACTTGCTTTGGACAACTGATTTGAAAAGTACTTTAAAGTGTTCTATATCTGAACTTCTGGTCACAACTTTACTCAATATGGTCATACGCTTGCCTTTACTAGCGAGTTATATTGTCCACCACTTTGCAAATATAATGCTGTTGTAATAATATAGTGGTAGGACGTACTGTTATCTGTAATAGTGAGAGATACTAAATTCGTTATCTTTCCTCATACGCCATCTTAGCTCGGCTTTTTGTTTTTGCCAATTTTATAGCAATTGACTTAATTTTTAAGTTTCTGTCCTGTTGTGGTTCCTAAAGAACTATGGCACTTATTTAATAGCGGGTAGCGTCCGACTGCTATCTGCCAATGTTTATAACCTTAAGACTGATAAGCTCTTTATATTCATATCTATTGTATTATATTCATATTATTATATCTTCGTATTCATATTCATTGTATTGTATTGATATTATTGAAATTGTGAACAAATGTAATAATAAAAAAATACTTTTATTTTACAACATATATATTAAAATATACCAAAACATTATAAATATATTATTAAAAACATTACGAAAACATTGCAACATATATATCAAAATAAACGAAATAATAAAAATAGGCAAAAAATAGATGAAATAATAAAAAAACCACTTAAACAGCATATGCACATGTAAACGAAACACTATGAAGAAATGATGTAAACAAAATTTGAAAAAAATTATTTTAACTTGATTTATTTTGATAAGGAAAATAGTTTTATGGTATTTAAAATAGCAAGGAAGGGATCCGTCATGGGCACAAACTTCTCTTAAAATTTATTTCATGTTGCAATAGTTGCGTTGGATAGTTTGAGCTGCTCTTTCCCCCACCGTATTGTTGTTAAATTATGGGACCACCCATAAATGAATTTTAAAGCCGTTAGAAAAGAAATCCTCGACCCCTCTAACCAGGTTCCTTTCCTTATAGAAACGGTTCTGTTACAACTACGAAAGCATCTCCATTTAACTCCTTCATCACAATATTTGACTTTTGCAAATATCCCGGCGTCTTGAAAATATTTTATAGCCTCTTCTTCCGAAGACAGGAATTCCCACAATGTGACAACATCCATAATTAAATAACACTAACTCACAGCTAACACAAGAAAAAAAAAGTAAACAAGGGAATAACTTAGGTTAGATGAGGTAAGGGAGGTTATGTGAAATGAGATTAGATAAGAAGGGAGGTTTTGACGCTACCTGCTATTAAATAAGTACCGGACTATTATAAGAGGTGGGTTGATAAGATCGATTTAGAATAAAGAATTGGGAAAAGTTAGTAGAACGAGGTGATTTTAAATGTAAGAAGATTGTATGGTTATAGACTGTTACAAAGACACAGTGAGGAATAAACTATTAACTGCAACATACCGATGAAGAGTCCGTGAGCTCCGCGTCGGCCGGGGGCGGTCGTCGGGCTGCCCTGCGCGGCCTCCACTCGGCTCCCAGCTCAGACCGCATCGCTCCCTCCTACACTGCAACATAATCACCACTATACTATACTACACTATACTATACTACACTATACTATACTATACTATACTATACTATACTATACCATACTATACTATACTATACTATACTATACTATACTATACTATACTATACTATACTATACTATACTATACTATACTACACTATACTATACTATACTATACTATACTATACTATACTATACTATACTATACTATACTATACTATACTATACTATACTATACTATACTATACTATACTATACTATACTATACTATACTATACTATACTACACTATACTATACTACTCTTCTATTTATAAAATAAATAAACAAATTATTAAATAAATCAATTTCATAATTTCTAAATATGTTTACATTTGTTAGAATTTTATTCAAAACCAGGTTATTAGTCTTTTAGATCTCTCTTGGGTCTGCGGTCTTCTGTTAGTATTACCTATGAAATATTTCTTCACAAGTAGTAACTAGTTGCCTCGTGCGAAAAATTCGCAGAAAATTTTGTTTAGTGAAGAAATAGTAAAACAATATGGAAATAAGTAGTTCCTATGTATTATGTAAGGAAGGAATTAATATTTTTTCCTCAGTCGATTACAATATTCCATTAAACATAATAGACCAAAATATTTATACAAATTGCTTTGCTAGGACCTATTTTTAAACGCTGACTGGAAAGATAATAAAAGTAATATAGACAAAATAATGCCCCAATCATATTCTAAATTATTAAAAAAAAAAATGTAAAATGTAAGAACAACCGAATGTCTTTAAAAAATAATAAAGTTAATATAAAAGCCAGGAAAAAAAATGTAGTAGACTATTCTACTTCTAAATACAATATCTTTAAACAGGAAGACATTATTAAGTATATCAAAACTAATGAACAGTATCTTTGTTAATAATTGTCCGATTTTTTTTGTTTTGTAGGTAATTTAGTAATCTAATTATCATGAGTACAATCCAGAAAAAAATGCATACTTTTTGAGTTATTCGCAAAGAAAGTTTCTTTTCCTCCATAACATTTTTCCCAGGAATTTCTGGGAGATGGGACTATTTTTTGCATGTGAAGAATATCTTCAAAATGAGTGGTCAATAATTGGATTTGATGAAGAATTGACGAAGTTATGGCGTACAGACAAAAAAAACACCTTTTAGAAATAATATACAGGATAACACATTTTGTTTCAAAAATAGTGGAGAATGTACTATAAAATGTTTGGACTAGACTTGCCTGCAAATAATCTGAAAGCAGTGGGGACAGATCCAAGACTTTATTCTCGTACTTGAACCCTTAATAAACAGGGTGTCTCTAAGCAGAGGAAAATATTTAAAAGGTTGAGAGCAGAAATCAACATCTACAATAAAGTTCGTATAAACAATTCCCAAATTTCCAGCAGAAAAGTAAAAAAAAAAAATCATTCAACTCTTCTAATTATTTCTACCGAATTTTAAACTCTTGGTTTGCCATGGAGCCGTAGACTTTCAATTGACAAGGGCAATGGCAGGATAGAAATGTCAGAAAAGACCCGAGGGGAAAGAAGATATGGCAGCAATCCCGACCAAATGTCCAACAAACCAACCGTCAAATAAAATAGTCACGGTACTAAACTCTTCCCTATGGCCTTTCCCAGGCTTCACAACTTCCTTCGGGCCAACCTCCGCTTGACGATAGCTTACTTTCCGAATAAAAGCACACTGCTTAATTATCATTTATTTTGTAAGAAAAATGTAGTTTTTATAATCTTAAAAAACTTCTTTACAGTACATCACACACTTTGTACTAACGTAGTACTGTACAGTAGTATTCTCAGTAGAAATTATGTAGTAATCTATAAATTTAATAAACCTGTATTATTTTAATTATGAATACAAACTTAAGACAATTGATACAAAGAATTACAATTCCGTGCACAATATATTTTCGGTTTGTCAAGCTGAAAATACATTTTAAGCGTTTGCCAGTTTGGTCTTCCTGTCCCCCCGATTAATCGTATTTAAGTTTCTTTAAGTAATCGTGGTCTGCAACCATATAATAAAGTCTGTAAGTTTCTTTTCACCTAGGTTATTCGTAACAGTACTCAACTTTATGAATGTCTACAACATGGCCTAATTTGACTTCTTTACCTCTATGGAACGACATTCGGTTTTCTGGTTGCTTCAATGTTAAACCTTCCATTTTCAATATATTTGTCATTAAGTTAAGGAATCATATAATTAATCTTCAAATCAGTAAAATTATGAATTAAAGAGTTTGGTTTTTGAGTTACTTTTAGGAGATGAAAACGCACCGGAATATTATGTCATCATATTACCTGCAAACACCAATGTCACAAATAAGGTTACCGGCATAACATAACAATATTTACAAGCCTTTTCATTGGCAACGTTACTGACCTCTCTACCTTCCCTAATATATACCCGATTACGAATTATCCCATCGTCTTATGTCCAGGTTCACGCCAGGCGATCACGTCATTTGATCAAGTAGTATTAGTAGTATTCATGTAACCATTTTGTAACAAGTGCAAAATAAAGTTTTACCTTCACACCCAGACTTCTCATTTGACATCTATTACCATAGAGAAACTGTATTGATTAGTCGATTCCAAACGTTGCTGACATGAGACATACAGCCGTTACCTAGATTTTGTGTAATTTTCAGTAAATTTAAAGTAATTTTTACTCTGAATTTGTAAAAAAAAAGTCTTATGTGTGATTGTGTTTATTTTCATTGAGATTCAATCAGCTCGTCTTGGTCTCGATTTTCTCCTTAAATATCAAAATTACGTCCACTTCATTCATATTTTTATATTCCAGCTTAAATTAGTTTTGTTCTGACTGAAGAAAAGTATTGGTCTCGTTAGCTCCGAACCATCAAAAAGTTTAATTTTTCGTACAAATTTTCTGTTCCATTCATTTTACGAGTGAAAATGTTCCTATTAAGTATATATCACTACTGTTAGTGCAAATGTCGTAGGTAAAAGTTTACTATTTTTGAAATTATGTAGTCTGCAATTGATATAATTAGTCTACTACTATGAAAAATGGACAGAGGGCAATAAAATATAAAATTATACTCATAAATCATAAAGAAATTAGTTTTTATGCTCTCCTCTAAAACACTCAATTTTTAGATATGTAATTTGCAGTAACAGTTGCGAGATATATATTCAGTATACGCTGGATTTTTTATTATTTTTTTATTACGAATTATCAAATATGCAATCTGCAAATGCGGAACTTTTTCGCATTTTAGTATTTGCTGATAAACAAAACTCGTGGATATCAAGCCCGTATATGTTGAGGGATTACTGAATTTCCGAAAACGGCTTCTTCCAGAGATTTTATTCTCATAAGAAAATTTTTAGACCTTTTAATATAGATATTTTTTAGCAAATGAAAACGGTGAGGAAGCTATACTGACTTGCTTGGCAGACGTTTTTAATCTATATTTGATCTATAAAGATGTGCAAACTGTTCAATTGTTTTGTTAACAATCCTCCAAAAAATGTTATGATTGCAAATATATATATATATATATATATGTTAATTTATTAATTGTTAATTGTTGATTAATAAATTGTTTTTTAAAAGGCTTAGGTTATAGATAATATAACATCCCACCACTTTTTTCCCTATTATCTCGCCTCCCCTCTCTCCATTCAAAATGGAAAGCCTGCTCCCATGTCTAGGAAAATGATATATTTTTCAAAACCTATAACCGAAAACGTTTGTAAACTTTTATCATTTGTTGTTTATTGGTTTTATTTTTTATTCATTTAAAAAAAATAAAATTCTATAGCTTTGTTAGAATCAACACAATCTTCACGAGAAATAAAATTTGAATTGTTATCTTTAAAAATGACGGTTTTCAATTAATTTGTTATCTATACAGAAAGTTCCCTTTCTCTTGGAAAACGAAACAAAAACATCGTTCAACTAAATAAAATCATTCACTCGGAGAAAAAGAAAGCTTGAGTTCAGCTAGATCAGGCAGCTTCAGATAGCAATTAACAACCATGCGTCCATCAATAAAGATAAAAAAGCTAAGGTAACTGATTCTGATCTTGGTCTTTCCTATCTCCGAGTATAAGAGATTAAGGTTAGACTGAAGGCGGGGAATGCTTGTTATTTTTCTGTGACAAAACTACTCAGTTCGCGCCTCTTGTCCCGAAACTTAAAAATTAGAATCTATAAAACAATTATCTTGCCTACAGTTCTTTATGGATGCGAAACTTGGCCGCTTACATTAAGGGATGAGCAGCGTCTTAAGGTTTTTGAAAATAAAGTATTGCGTAGAATATTCGGACCGAAGAAGGATGAGTTAACCGGAGAGTTCAGACGGTTACACAACGCCGAATTGCATGAGCTGTATCCGGGTAATATAATTGAGGTAATTTCATCGCGGCGAATCAAATGGGCTTGTAAAGTTGTTGGACTTAGTAACGAGAGAATTCCTAAAAGGTTAATATTTGCTGTGCCGAATGGTAAGCGTCCGAGGGGTAGACCGAAGCGAAGATGGGAAGATTGCATTAAAGCCGATCTGAAGGGACTGGGTTTGGACGGCGAACGGTGGAGGGAGGTGTGTAACAAGCGATTGGTGGTGTCGGCATAGAACCTTCGGGTTCGCTAAGTCTTATTATTATTATTATTATTAAAGTTGTTTATGTATAATTATATTCTTCTGAACTAAAGAACAATTAAACAAATCGAAAAAAAAATCCATTTGATGCTCTGCTAGTACAGACCGGACATAAAAATGATACAATCTAGTAAGGAGAATATATGTTAATGTTAATGGTTAATATATTGAAATTACTAAACTTACTAACTGCCAAATCAACGCTGATGTTAGGAACTGGATACTTGACTTGCTCCTGATAGTTCAGCAAATAATGTAAATCAGTGTCCTCGAATCGACATATGTACTCAATACCTACGTATATGTAATATTGTAACATTATGTAATGTTTGCATGGGTATCTTCTACCGTTGTAATTACAATAGTCTACAATTTCACCAATTTTAGAATATTTCAATGCTTTTAAAAATAGCTTATAGCTTATATGTGAAGGATTGAAATACAAAGCTTACTGATAATATAGATTAATTACTGATAATTCTAGATAATATAAATTAAAATTAAATTCATGGCACGTATGTTTGTATAAATAAATAAATAAATACACACGTATATATATATATATATATATATATATATATATGAATATATATATATATATAAGATAAAGACCGGAGACTGGCGATATCAGCCTTAATACCATCTTTTAATGTAAATAAACATAGCAATTGTATATAAGGCAGATTATTGAACGAATAAAGCAGTGTTAATTCAGAAGCCGTGAGTATTGTTTCTCGTTCCTCTTTCCTTCTTTTTTTTTGTTTACAAAGCCCGGAGACGCTTAACTGGTGCCGAAACCCGGGAGAACGTCAGGAGAACACGGAAGTAAAATTTTTTTTTCCTTTCTTTATTTTAATTTTTTTTTCTCTTCTCCTAGTCATAAGGAAAAGACGAGATGCCGACAGAGGGCATAATTCGACCAGGAGTGTTGACCGCACCTGAAATGCCGCAACCTCAGGAAATGCCGATAGCGCAGATTCCTCAGATCGCCCCTCAGGTTCCGCAGAATCCGCAGATACCTCAGATACCTCAAGTACCGCAGATACAAGAGATCCCTCCCTTACCTAGGGACACATTGGCAGAGGCGCACGCCAATGCATTGGAGTGGATGAAGATAAGGGCAGCGACCACGCAGGATCTACGGAGAGCAATCGCAGACCTGGAGCGATTCGGGGGCGAGATAGGTGAACTTAATCACTTCCTGAAAGGTGGAGACCGCCTCATATCAAGAATCGAAGCAAAGGTGGCGGAGGACCTCGTGAACCTGGGAGACGCAGAAGCACTGAAGGCAGCTCTCGTGTGCCGAGTGAGGAGGAACATCCTCAACCAAATCCAAGCGGACGAGGAGACACCATGGCCAGTGATTAAGGAGCGTTTGAAGAAGGCTTTCGGAGGGGGCCGATGGACGCCGGAAGAAGATATCTTCCAAATGTTTAGGGAGTGTCGGTCCCAACGCCAATCAAGAGGACAGTATGCGGGGGTACTAGTGGCGAAGTACAACCGCATAACTGAGAAAATGCGTGAAACCATGAGTGTGGGAGAGGTCGAAGCTAGGATGGAATTCCTTTCGACAATACTCAAGGTTCAGTTGGCTAAGGAGACTGGGAGAAGGGACGGACTGCCTAGAGAGCGATCGTTCCTCGAGTGTGCCCAAGAAATGATAGATCTGAGTGCAAGAGAGGAAGAGACGCGGATGGAAGTAGAAGAACCAGGGTGGACCCGGGTGAGTGACAGACGACCCCGGACAGCCCAGATCGGGTGGAGGAAGAGGGAAATGAAACACCCGAACGGAGAAAAAGCCACGACGGGCGAGAGAAGATCCGGACAGTCCAGGCCTAGGAATGGACCCCGGAGGGAAGACAGAAAATGTCACGGGTGCGGGAAACCGGGACATTTGGTAGCACAATGTCCGCGCACTAGATGTTTCGAGTGCGGGACGGAAGGGCATATTGCCAGACAGTGCCCGTACATGTTTCGCAGGAGAGAGAGACCTCTAGACGAGCCAATGGAGGTGAACGCTCAAAAGTTGAAAAAACGAGCTAGGATGCAGCAGAGAGACGGATCTTCGGAAGAGGCAACCGAGGAGTCGGGGACGTCGGGAACGGAGACTGACGAGCCAGCCAGCAGTGGAGGCGAAGGAGGCAGGAGCAGCCAACGGAGCGAGCAACGACGAGCGACGGCGGTAAGGAGGAAGCGAGGTGGCATCTGAGAAGGGTGTCAGCAGAGAGGCGACCGCACAGCAACCTGCAACAATATTAGAGGTAAGCCATGCTGGTTGCCGATTATTGAGGTAGACGGGGGAGTGAAGTGTCTCGTGGACACAGGGAGCTCGAGTACTATCTTGACTCGGGGGGCGTTGGGGAGAGTGTGCGGGAGCGAGAGGGTACTCCGGATACAAAACTGTGGCTGCCAGCTAATCACTCTGGGTGGTCCCTGTAAAGTAGAAGGGGAAGCGTCAATTACGCTTGATCGGTGGGCAGGGAAAAAGGGGGAGCTAAAGGTGCATGTGGTAGAGAGCATGACGCGGGAGTACCAAGTCATAATAGGGTGTGATCTGTTAGGACAGGTAGGGGTAAGCATTAGAAACCGTAGAGGAGCTTGGAGTATCAGGCTGGGAAGGAGGAAATTTGGATGTATAGGGGTCGCGAGAGAAAGAAGGGTGCGGATAGGAGCGGTGAACAGGGTGGAGGACTGGAGAAAGGCGTTACAAGCGGAGTTCGTAGATATTTTCTTCAGGGAGGGCGAGGTATTGGGGGTAACAGGGAAGACGGTACACGAAGTTCCACTGAAGCAAGATAGGGTGACCTACGTAAAGGAAAGGAGATACCCGCAGGCGCTGAGGCAGCATATTCGGGAGGAATTGGAAAGCCTAAAGGAGCAAGGGATCATAGTCGATAGCACCTCGCCATTTAATAGTCCCCTGTGGGCAGTGAAAAAGAAGGCAGCGCCGGGGGATAATAAGGAAAAATACAGAGTGGTAGTGGACTATCGTAGGTTGAACGACAACACGGTAGACGAAAAGTACCCGATCCCTAGATTCGAGGATATACTTGATAGGTTGAGTGGGGCCGTGGTGTTTAGCACGTTGGACCTCAAGGCGGGATACCACCAAATACGGATGCACCCGAAGGACCAACATAAGACGGCGTTTACATTCGAAAGGGGGCATTACGAATTCACCAGAATGCCGTTTGGTCTGAAGAATGCGCCCATAACGTTTCAACGCCTGATGGACGAATTTCTGAGGGGGATCGACGACTCCGTATGTCAAGTATACATGGACGACCTGCTGATTTTTAGCAGAACGGAAGCCGAACACGTGGGGCATTTGAGGTCGGTATTCGAAAGGCTGCGACAATTCGGGCTGAAACTGTCCAGTGAGAAGTCCCTGTTGGGACAAACGCGGATCAATTTTTTAGGCCACACTATTTCTAGCGAGGGGGTCAGACCGGATGCGGCAAAGGTGGAGGCTATCACACGAATGGCGGTGCCACGGGACGTTAAAGGGATTCGTAGGCTTCTCGGGACGCTGAATTATTATAGAAGATTCGTACCTGAGATGGCAGAATACTTGGTACCTATCAATAACTTGCTGAAGAAAGGCGCGAGGATCGTGGTGACACCGGAAATGGAAAATAATATTCGGAAATGCATGGATAGGTTGCAGGCAGAACCCGTATTGGCGTTCCCGGATTTTGAGAAGCAGTTCAACGTCACCACCGATGCGAGCGAATACGCGTTGGGGGCCGTTTTATCCCAGGGCAGAAGTGAGGGTGAACGTCCGATAGCATACGCGAGCCGACGACTTACGAGCGCGGAATCACGGTACAGCGCGTTAGAGAGGGAGCTACTCGCGATAGTGTGGGCCATCGACCATTTCAGGCCATATATATTTGGGAGGAAGTTTCGAGTCCACACCGATCACAAACCCCTTCAGTGGGTAGGAAAACTTAAGGAAACCTCTGCGAGGGTCACGAGATGGAAAGAATTCCTTAGTCAGTACAACATGGAGGTGGTGTATAAGCCGGGAAAGGAAAACGTGGTGGCAGACTGGCTCTCTAGGGCCATCATGATCAACGCGGTAGAAGAGGACGGGGGAGGTCCATCGCGGGACGTGCGCCAATTCTTGAGGGAATGGACTCCTGAGGGTGAAGGGGCAGATGATACCGTCAGTATAGAGGACAGGGAGGGGTCCCCGGAAGAAGATAGCTCAGCGGAGGAAAGACCAGTGGCGATGGAGGAAATAGACGAAATCATCAACGACAAGCATAGACAGGTAATCTGGAAAACCAGGACAACAGGGATCATGAAAATAGATTACCGAAGATACGGGAAAAGTAGGATTCGCGTCATTTGGTCGCAACCCGGGGTGAGCGAGGAGCAAATCCGTACGGCACTAAAGGACGCCACGGAACCGGGAAAGACACACCATCTCTATGTTGGGAACAACACGGTATGGGAGAAAATAAAGCGGATGTGGAGATCCGAGCGAATAGGCATGGATAGAACGATCATCCGGTGCAAGTATGCAGTGGAAACCGTACAGGATGAGGAGCAGCAACAAGCAATTACATTGGCATACCACCAGGGGAAGACCAACCACCGAGGCGTCAACGAGACGTTGCAGGCATTACGGCGAAAGTATTTCTGGTGGGGAATGAAAAAATCTATCCAAGGAATCATCGGGAAATGCGAGGTATGTATGCGCACGAAGTATGATCGACACCCCCCCAGAGGAGTTCAGGAAGAGACACCTACAGGGAATATGCCGCTACAAGACCTCCAGATCGATACATTCACCTGGAAAGGGTTCAAGTGGGTCACGATCATCGACACCTTTAGTAAAGTAGCTATGGCACATCAGGTCATGGACAAGTCTGCCAATGCAGTTGCGGAAGCCCTACAAATCTGGATACAGTTTTACGGAGTTCCCGAGAGGATCACATCAGACGGTGGCAGAGAATTCGACAATACCGCGATTAGGGAGGAGGTGAAAAGGTTAGAGGTTGTGTGGCATTATAACACACCGGGACACCCTAAGAGTAGAGGAGGAATCGAACGTTTGCACAGCACGTTGAGTGACCACATCCGTGTATATCAGGGAGAGAAAGGGTTGGAGCCGGATGTCGCGATGAAGAAAGCCGTAACAGCTTACAACCATTCGATCCACTCCGTAACGGGGTTTTCACCTGTGGAAATACTATTCGGGATGCGCAGGCCAAGGAGAGATTGGGGGGAAA